ACTTGTAGCTAGAATATTATCTTTACTCAAACTCTTAGAAAAGGAAACCAGCGAGTTTAATGATTGGCTAAGGAAGTTGCCTCATTGGTTGATAATAGTTATTGGCATGCATGTTCCATGATTTACTTTTATTTGTTGTTGTTATTCTTCTTATATTGGTGTTACTCTTTATAGTTATAGATGCTTGTAGATGTATCACATGTAATTATTAATGAAATACATCTTTTTTGTAACCTTTATAATGTCTACTTGTAGCTAGAATATTATCTTTACTCATACTCTTAGAAAAGGAAACCGGTGAGTTGAATGATTGGCTAAGGAAGTTGCCTCATTGGTTGATAATAGTTACTAGCATGCATGTCCCATGATTTACTTTTATTTGTTCATGTTGATTTTGTGGTAACCTTCATTAAAGGCAACCATTTGTTTGTGTTTGTATCTCTTTTTTCCAGCTTTTCCACTAATAAAAATAAAATTACTACCTCGGTTTCTATGTATAAAATTCGTTTCACTTTTTTGTTTGTCCCTTTTTATAAGGTTTTCTTCTTTGCATTAATTATATCTTTTTCAAAATACACTTAATTAATTAAGAATTCTTTTAAATAAAATATAATAAATGTTTGAAATTAATTAAATAAAAACTCTTTTATTAGTATTTTTTGGTGAAGAAACTCATTATTGGTATTGAAGAAAATAAATAGACACATAAACATTTTTCTCTTTGAAACATTAATTAATTAGGTGATAAATAATTAAATAAAAAGAGAGAATGTTAATTTAAAAGATGTTAAGGTATTTTTGAAAAAGTAGTTTAAATTATTGACAAATTTAATATAAAGAGCACAATTGGACAAAATGAAGTATTTTTTGGGAATTATCATATTGGAAGACAAATCTTCTCTGACATAATCTTAATTGATGCACATTGAGAGAAATGTATTTCTCAATATTTTGTTCACAGTCATGGATACCAAAGGAAAGACAAAGGATACTATCAAATCTAGAAAGGACTTGGAAGTTCATTGTAAGCGTAGAGGTTTAGAACTACATGTTGGCAAGAGCGAGAACCTTGTAAAGCCAAAGGCACAATATACATTAACCAAACAACAAAGATTAGTTGTTTGTAAATGGGTTATAAGTCTCAAGCTCCCAGATGGTTATGCTTCCAATTTGAGTAGGTGTGTTGACTTGAGGAAAGCAAAGTTATTTGGCATGAAAAGTCATTGTCACGTATTTATGCAACGTTTGCTTTCACTCGCATTCAAAGTGTTGCCTAAGCCTATATGGAACACATTTACTGAGTTTAGTCAATTCTTTAGAGAAATTACTTTGTCCTGCTGTCAGAAGAGAAGTTGTGTGTGTTAGAAGATAACATTCCAATCATAATGTGCAAACTAGAACAAATATTCCCTCCAAGTTTTTTTGACTCAATGGAACATCTACCAATTCATTTAGCATATGAAGCAAGAGTTGGTGGTCTTATTTAATATAGATGGATGTATCCATTTGAAAGGTTAGTTATTATTAATATCGAATCTATTACAACATCCTTATTTTTTTTTCTTGAATTTTAAGACTTAGTTTTTCCATAGGTTTATAGGATCGTTAAAAAAGAAAGTTACAAACCAAGCTTATGTGGAAGGCTCAATTTGTAAAGCATATTTACTTGAGGAGATGTTGACATTTGCTTCATATTATTATCCTTCCCATATTCCATCAAGGAGAACATGAGTGTCACGAAATGATGACAGTGAACAATCTTCTGAATATCCTTGATTGTCAATTTTCAATTATCCATGTCATATTTTTGGGAAATGTATCAATTCTACCTTGGAAGAGAAGGAAATGGAAGTTGCACATTTGTTGAGATTAGCGGAAAAACACATAGAAGGGGGGTTGAATATGTGTGTGTGAACAAAGGTATTTTAAAACCATTTTCGCAAGGGTAGTGCTCTTCATCCACTGCACTTTTGAATATCAGACGGTTGTGTAGAGTTTGTTTAACATACGATCAATGCATCTGAAGGGTTTATCGTCCACTAGGGAAAATGTCTCGTAAAAATATTAATTGAAGTTCTTACATTTTCCTTTTCAAGATATTTTCGTTTAAGGATAAGTAGCAGATGAAACTTTCAGTATAATAAGTTTGTCAAGCAAAGTTAGCGTCTTCGTCTAAAAGTTGTTTTAAAGATATATAAACACTGGACGAAGTCTTTCACAAATGTTTAATCAGTAAGGAAGATTTATGTCTAAGTAAATAAAATGATGCAATCGTTTTATACTAGTTCGCTCAACAGAGCTACCTCTAGTCTCCTTCAACTTGAAGGGTTCCACTAGATATGAAATGAAGAACATTGAGTATTATCGTCCACTCCTGGACCTGAGTATTCTCGACCACTCCTGGCCTTGAGTATTCTCGACCACTCCTGGCCCTGAGTATTCTCGACCACTCCTGGCCCGTTAGCTTCACTCACCAATGCTAGTATTCATAAACCACTTCTGGTTCTCCAAGTATTCTCGACCAATCCTAGCCTGTCGGCTTCACTCACCAACGCTAGTATTCTTAAACCACTTCTGGTTCTCCAAGTATTCTTGACCACTCCTAGCCTATCGGCTTCACTCACCAACGCTAGTATATTCTTCTCAGCCACTTCTGGCTAACAGTGAGTATTCTTTGACAAGCCCCTTTGGGCTTTACAAGTATTCTTTTCCTAGCCTCTTCAGGTTTTATAATGTTGGCTAGACAATTTTGGTTGAGTGCATACATAACACTCACAAAGAGGATTGGGAATTTCCTACACTCGCTAAGGTTTCCTACCTTAGTTTTACAGAGAATTCTGTTTGAGTCTTTGGGTTACTCTCATGGAGAGGATACATAGGTTTACAACACTCACTAAGGTTTAGTCCATTACTGACATTTCGAACACCTTAGTCTACAGAGATACAAATATAACATTGTACATATGACTATGTATGCTCATCTCTGTTCTCTGTGTCTCATGGGCTTGATATCACTCCTTTTCTTCCAATCAAAAATCCAACCTTTTAAGGTTTGAGGTAGTGATATATATATATATATATATACATATATATATATATATATTCTTGTAGAATCTGCCCGTTGCTTGATTTTGAATATGTTCGTTGACACGGAGCTTCCCGTTGCATATGTCCGTTGAAGCTAATATAGTCGTTCATAACTAGTTTGATCCTTTCATTTAATGCATTTGGTCTTGCATTAAATGTTGCTTCCTGTTCTTGGACATTGCGTGTATTCTTTTCTGCCCTGTTGCAGCAGTGTTTGACTTTATCTAAGACCAAAAAATTATTTGTCTTTTTCTGGTCATGTAGCAATATAGCCATTGTCCTTTTCTGAAAAAGTAATGCACTTTTTCTGACACATGCATGCTTTGCTTTTGCGTGCTTCTCTTCTTCTTTGTTTATTCACTTAGATTACATGTTTTACGTTGAAAGCTTTTGTGTGGTCATAGACGATGTCTTGGCTTGTTTCTTGAGACGTGATTATTTATTTGCTTGCGTGCTAGTCTTCATCTTCATTTGTTGGTCCTGTGTATTTCAATCTTTGACTTTTGCTTCAGCGTCTGAGTTTTTGACTTTTCTTTGGTATGATTAACAATGTGAATAGACAACCATTGTTTCCATCTAGAGTGTCTCTCAGTCTGTGCTGTCTCTCGTTTGATGCATAGTTGGCTTTCTTTTTTACCTTAGTCATATGCCTCGTCTGATTTGCGCTTTGGGATAGTCGTACTAGACACATTTTTGTCTGAGTATTTTATGATCAACTGGGGCATATACGTGTTCCAATTATTCTTCTCTTGACGCTCGATTTCCTACATCACTTGCTTCATTTGTCTCAACTTGTCTGGTTCGTGTCTTGCCTTGACTATTCCTCATAGGCTTCGTATAATATTTCAGTGTCTCATTCTGGTGGTAGTTCTCTTTCGTCTGTGAGCAGACTTCATTTTTTAAATGCTTGATTACCTATCATCTGATTCTTTCATCTGGTTTGTACAATCTTCTGGATTGTGACATTTAATGCTTCTGACTTTGCATTTAATGTTTGCTTGCTGAATCTGCGCTTCTCGAGATCTTTTGTACCATTTGTGTGCTTCTATGACTAGCATTAAGATATCTCTGTACTTTGTTGGTATTGTAGCGATAGAGGCGTTGTCCTTTGCTGATTGGTAGGTGTACTTGCTCTTACACATGCTGTTTTGATTTGTGGATAAGTGCTCGTTCATTTTTCTTATCTTCCTTCTTCTATTTTGATGTCTTCATGTGTTCTTCCGGAAGTGTGGATGCTAGAGAGTTCGTCTCGTTGTGTCTTCAGACGCAATACAGCTTTCTTGACCATCGTCTGTGTATTCTAGTCTCTGTCTAGTTGGCTATTGTAAGTACTTGACTCCATCTAGGGTGCTCTTGCTAGGATTTGCCCATTGTCCAGGGTCTTGTATCATCTGAGTCTTCATCTGATGTATTCCCTGTACTTGTATCTCACATCTCCTTGATTCTGGTATGGATGTATATTCTCTATTCAACAGTTTACCTATACTTGTATATGAAATACTAACACACTTGTTAGTAATAACAATATGTATTATATTTGTCTCATTCAAAACCTTGCTAGGAATTGCTTTCGTCTTCGTCTGACTTAACATTTGTATGTGCTTTTAAATTGTCCAGAGGTGGTTTCTTACTTAAAGTAAGTATATTTAATATAAACATTGTGTGATAAATTCAAATCAGACTTGACAATGCTTAAATCCTCATCTTGGATATGCAGTATGTACTCGCATTTGTTACGGGAATTGAACCCTAAGATAAATGAAGCCAACCTAGACAAGGAAATTTCCATGAACTTTTCTACTTGGTTTAAAACACATGTACGTGAAATAATTATTTTATTTTATACAAGGTACCTTATTTTATTATCTTTGACAAACAAAGTATCAAATGTAGGTGCTTAATATGCAATGAACCATCAGAAGAATTTCTATTATTAGCATTAGTCATTGACTTATGTTTCCAATTCTCATCATTCCATTTTTGTTGAAGTTCTACAAGTTTTTGCTTTGGAATCCAACTCCCTTGATCAATGCCTCGTCGCACCCTATACATAGCATTTGAAAGCCCTTCAGATGCTTTATGGTCAAATGCTTTTCTTATTTGTGCATCATGATCAGGCAGCCACTTGAACTTTCTCTACATCAAAAATTTATAAAATATTATTTAAACAATGTGCAATTTAATGCAATGAAAAATATAAAATGGTTATTATAATATTTGTAGTTCTTTATACCTGAAACTCTTCAAACCACATGTTTGCCACACCTTCATTAGTGCTTTTAACCTCTCCATATGATTCCCATGACCCTTCAAACTTCCCTTTGATTATTCTTGAAATTTCACGGGTAGGGTGAATTGGTGGGTCGAATCTATAAAAATAAAATAGAAGAACTAAAATAACTTATAATGCGAAACATGTTTATATTGATCTAAAAGAAAAGAATTATTCATACTTACGTGTTTTGTGGACCTGGGCGAATCCAAATACGCCCATCAGAGTCAAAACTTCCAATTTCTAAAGATGGATCAATAGAGGATGATGATCCAACATTTGGAATACCAGTAGCATCAATGAAGGGATTTGTTTGTGGTCTTTCAATCATATTTGGGAATTGTGTCAAAGAAACATGTGGGGTAGGTATAGAATGAGGAACTAAATGTGGTTGAGAAGTGGAAGTAACATGAGGGGTAGGTGTAGCTTGGTTACTTTGGGGAGTTGTAGGTGTTTGGGAGGTGGAACCATGTGTAGGTTGTGTAATACAATGAGGGGGTTCTCCAATAGAATGTGTTGGCTGAGAAGTAGAAGGTGGTGGCACAATGGTGGTACCTCTACCTCTCCCTCTTCCCCTACCTCTACTAATACCTCTACCAGTGCCTCTCCCTCTTCCTCTATCAGTCATGTTATTGCTCACAATCTATATACACAATGTACAACATTAATAAATGAAGTTTATTAAGACATCAATAATAAGTTCAAGATTAACAAATAATATGTACTATATAGTAATATATGCATATCCACAACAACCACAACATTATGACATCAAAGTCTATTAACAAGACTTTGTTGAAAATCATCATTTGAAACATCTAAAGGCATTTGTTGTAGATCATCATCTTGGTAAGAAACATTTGTTTCAAATTTATCATTTCCTAATGATTGAATTATATTTCGTGCCTTAGTTTTTATGAAACCAAACCAACCTTGTTGTCCCTCAGGAAAGGATGTAAAATACACTTGTTCTACTTGTTGAGCTAGTATAAAAGAATCATAGCTATGATATCTCCTAGATTTTTTAATTTCAACATTGTCATAAATATCTATTTTTGTCCCTTGAGAACTGGAATCAA